ATAGAGAGACACCAAAAGCATTTAAAATTCAAATGGAAGCGGGACTTTCAAAGTTTGAAAGTTATGTGTTGGAGCATTTGGGGACACGTGGAAAGATGAAAGAAGCATTGTCTTGCATGTTCGAAACGTGGCATAATCCTGTAGCGAGACCGTTAGGGTCGAATTAGTATAAATAGAAGTCTTAGTATTAGGATTTCGGTGTGTCATATCTGTTATACAAAATACTCAATAACATTCAAACTACCACATGACAAGGGAAACGAATGCAAGAGAAATGTATGTATGATAGCACCATGTATTTCTAACTTAATGAAAGCCTTTTACCATTTCCAGTACTTTCCTCTTTTCTTTTTGTCAAATAACATTTACAAGGTTTCTTATTTACAGTCTTTTCACTTCGAAGTCTTTTCCTCAAAGTTTTAGGTTTTACTGTTTTCTTTATATTTCGAGCACTTTATATTTCAGAGAACTGTCACATTTTCAATACCTTTACTTTCAAGTATTGTTCTTCAAGCGCATACTTTTACTTAAAATCATTTACAGATTTCTTGCATTAAACGCTTTCTTCACATTTTAAACTTCTACATTCCAGAAACCTTTTATGTTAAACGTTTTGTAAGTCGAAACCATTTACTTCATTTTCATGCAGTTTTATATGTCTCTACAATCAGCATTACAATTAGCATTTATTCGTATAGCTTAGTTTTCATATACATTTTGACCACATTTTTAGACTCTTAGAGAGAGGGATCGAAATAAGCCAAACACTTATACAATATCAACCATGAATAATTGTTCGATTGTGAGAGTAACCTTAATATCCAAGGAGTCCTAGGATCAATCTAGTCGATCCTGTGAGTTACCAGAGAGATTGAATAACAATAAGAAAGATTATTCGATAGTTTGGAAGACTAGCGGTTGTTTCCCAGAAATCACTGGAAACAACAGGGCACTTAGATTATTTATAATTTTTATTCCCACAATTTAATCTTTTTATTAAAATAAAATTATTAGTTTTTTTAGTTTTATTTAGAAATTGTTTATTATTTTTTAAATACAAAATTTAAAATTAAAATTAAGATTGCACCTAGGAGCCATATGAGATGGCTTCCCAGGTCTCACATGAATCTAGGTGTCATCTCATATGGCACATACATTCAAAATTCAGGTGCATGCGCCATCTCATCTGGTGTATCCACTTAACTCATTTCTGAAACCTGATTATTTGCGCTTTTTTTTTTGAAAACCTGGTTATTGATGTATTTTTATTTTAAAACATGATTATTACTAAAAAAATTCAAAATTTCACACAGATTAAGATAAGTCATTGTTAAACATTAACTCTTATCCTTAGATTGCTTTCTTAACCAACTGATATAAAAAAGGATTTTTTTTTCATTATTAAATTTAGAGAAAGAAGCATACATGGATAACTCGCTGGGCTTTGAAGAAAAAATTGAATTTTTTTTATAGGCAAAAACAAAATTTAATAAAATGTGAGCAGATCTCTATATGTGAAAAAAATCCCTTAGCTTCAACCAGAGACGACTAGTATTTTAACAGTGGATGCTCTAGACATATGACAGGGGCTTAGAAGTTGCTGGTGGACATTAAATCTTAGCCCACAGGTTCTTCCAGATTTAGTTATGGGTTTAAAGGTGAAATTAAGGGAGTTGGAAAATTGGTGTGTATTGGCTCTCCTAGTCTAGAAGATGTTCTTCTTCAGAAAGAACTAACTGTGAATCTTATCACCATTAGTCGGTTGTGTGGCCAAGGATTGTTAGTCATTTTCTCAAAGTTAGAATGTTTGGTTAAAGATGAGAAAGATGTTATTTTGATGAAAGGTATAAGGTCTAAAGACAATTGTTATATGTGGGAACTTCAAGTAACTACTTATTCGTCCACATGTTTGATGACCAAGGAGAATGAGGTGGATCTATAGCACGAAAAGCTTGGACACCTTCATCTCAAGGGAATGAAGAAAATCATAACTGAAGAAGCTATATGTATGCCAAAAATCAAGATTAAGGAGGGTAAAGTCTATGGTGGGTGTGAAATCAGGAAGAAAACCAAGATGTCACATCTAATGTTGCAATATTAGACTTCTTCCAAAGTGTTAGAACTTCTTCATATGGATCTAATGAGACCAATTTAGGTAGAAAGCGTTGGTGGAAAAGGTATGTCTATGTGGTTATAGATGATTTTTCAGGGTTTACATGAGTGAACTTTCTTAGAGAAAAATCAAACACATTTGAAGTCTTCAAAGATCTGTGTCAAAGTATTCAAAAGGAGCATAATAGTGTGATTGTCAAGATGAAAATCAACTGTCAATCAATTGAACTTGAGGAATGTTTTGAGTCATGCCATTAGGTCAAAAATGAAGTGTTTGAATCCTTGAGATTATAACTTAAACCAATCAAACATTTGCTAGGTCAAAAATCAGAAATTGCACTTCCTCAGTCAAAACCCTAATTTTGACCATTTTGCCTTTTTGATGATCTGATCAAATTTCTTGAAGAATTGTGATCCAAACTTGATAAAATGACATATATGAGTTCATAATATTGATATGGGCAAAAAATTATGAAGTTTGACTGTAATTTGACCACAATTGACTTTTTTCCCAATACAGCTGATTTTAGGTCAACTGATCAATTGACTGGGCAAAAATGTGATCCAAGACTTGAAACTTGACATGAGCAATCTTGAGAGTTCAAAAAGATCCATGAAAGTCATATGGGGCATTAAAAGTTCATTTGTCCTTGTGCAAACTCAAACCCTAATTTTCAGTCATCAGTGCTTGAGGAGGTGTCTTGAGCTGATCAACCCTTGTGCAGTTTTGAACCAAAGGAGATCTTGTGAGAGATTACTTGAGAAATGAGAGGATAAATTTTGGGGTACAACACATATTTATATAGCTCTTCTAACATAGATACCATTTCCCCTTCTAGATCATAATTCTTCAAAACTTGGCAGACTAAATAGTTTGTTTTGGCCATTATGCAATGGCCTTAGAAATATGCCATCAACTTCCTTAATGTTGTGACTAATTCTAAGGTCAAAATCTCTATATTTGGATACATTAACTCAATCCCATTGAAGACATTGCTTACGAAGTAGAGCGTTATTTCACAGTCGTCTATCTCTTGGACAAACATTAAGCTCATGGTGTTCTCAAATACTAAAAAAATATAAATACAACAATACATCTTCCTTCGTGCATTTTAGAATTAGAGGTTTTGCCAAAAAAACTTTTAACTTTGCGAAAGACTCATCGCATTCCTCTGTCCATTCAAACTTCCCCTTCTTCTTCATTACGGTGAAGAAGTTGAAGGTTTTCTCGCCTGCACATGATAGGAAGCGAGATCTGGTGACTATCTGCCTCGTTAATTATTGAACTTCTTTTACTGTTGTTGGGCTTTTCATCTTAATTATAGCCTAGAATTTGTCTAAATTGCTTTTGATTCCTTTCATGTTCAACATGAAACCTAGGAACTTCCTACTTAGACCTCAAAAGATCATTTGGGCGAGTTCGCCCGCAAGCTATACCTCCCAACAAATCTCAATATTTCCTCTAAATCATCAAAGTGTTTCGTCTAGTCCAATGAATTTACTATCATATCATATATGTATACCTCTAAGTTCTACAAACACCACATCTGTTAGTCTTTGGTAGGTGGTAACGGAAATCTTGAGGCTAAATGGAATCACATTGTAATATTAATTACAAGTGTTTGTCATGAAGGAATTCAATTGGGGGCGTCTAGGGGGTTCATCTTGATTTGGTTGTACTCTAAGTACGCTCCATAAATTTGTGTACTGTGTACTATAACGCTTTTTTAATCAACTTGTTTATATCGGGCTGGGGATATGGGTTCCTTAGACACGTCAAATTAAGATAAGTGAAGTCTACACACATTTTCCATTTTCCCGATGACTTTTTGACCATCACGACGTTGGTCATGTATACGGGATACTTAAACTCATTTATGAACCTTGTCTCTTTCATCTTTTACACTTTCGCATCAACAACTAATCTCATTTCCTCTCCCATTTTCTCATTTCTTTTGTATAGCGGGTTTTATGGCGGTGTTTAGGGTGAGGTGGTGATGATAATATCTGCATCTATTACCGGCATATCAGAATGACTTCATGTGAATTGATCAACATTTCTCGGGAGCAGACATTTTAAATTTTCTTCGTCCTTTGTTAAGGAGGTGTCCAGTTTCGTAGTCTGGAAATTTTGAGGGTCAATTTGAACTTCTTTGAGATCTTTAGTAGGGGCCATTCTATTTTTCAAGTATTCTTTCTTCACTTGGGTCTAGGTCCACAAATTTAACATTGTGAACGTTTGTTCTAGGCGTGGTTGTCAGCCCATGCCTACATCATGGTTATGTTGTATGAAGAATGAGCAAATCTTAGTGTTTTCACCTACTCTGAAAGTTGTTATAATGGAGATGTATTATCATACTTGTATCTATTTGTGTGAGAAACCTACTATGGAACTTTTAAAGGGTTACAAATATTCAAGATCTAGTTGGAAGCATTCAAAGGTGTCCCAATAAAGGACGTCAGTAGAAATGTAGGGGTCTGGGAGGACTTTTTTTACGTTCCATCTGTATAGTATAAAGTGTTGAGAATCATACTTTCTTTCCTAAAAATCTAACTCCTTTCAAAACTTTGTTAAATAAATTATTTTCTGGGTATTGAAATAATCATTTAAGTAGGAACTAGGAAAATGTTAGTAACATAATGATTTTAATATAATAACTACGAATATGAGTATTGTCTAAAATAATCTTCATGTTAACACAAAGTATCAACAATAACATGATTTGAATACAATAGTTTTCCTCACTGTCTGTCTTAGCAAAGAAGTATCAGAAAAATCAATAAAAAAAGCACTACTATAAACAACCAATTCACTTAAAAATCAATGTGCAGCTGGGAAAAATCTTACTTAATATGGAAATTCCACTCTTGGATGCTGCAATGTGTCTTCATTCAAGAAAAGGGTAGTCAGTATAACCAAGAACAGGATCAGGAGTATAGAATGTTTCTCTGTTATACTTGTTGAGAGGAGCATCAAGTGCAAATCTCTTTGGTAAATCTGGATTAGCCAAGAACAAACGACCATAAGCAACAAGATCTGCCCTGTTTTCAGCTATAGCATTGATCCCATCTTGTCTGTTATAGCCTCCTGCAACCATGAAAGTTCCATTGAAAGCCTTTCTCATTGGCACCAAGCTGTGAGGGGTTTCAACTGGATCAAAGGTATGTACTATTCTTGGTTCCACCATGTGGCAGTACAAAATGTTATATTTATTGAGGGCATTAGCCATATAAAGTCCCAATGCATTGGGATTGGAGTCCTGGCTTTCTACATATTCTGTAAAAGGTGATAATCTAATTCCAACTCTTTCAGCTCCTATCTCATTCACAACAGCTTCAACAACTTCCAAAGCAAATCGACAACGATTCTCAAGGGATCCACCATATTCATCTGTTCTGTCATTCACTTTATCTTTCATGAATTGTTCAAGTAGGTAGCCATGAGCACCATGGAGTTCAACCCCATCAAATCCTATAAAGCAATAAATAGTAAAATATTATTGTACTATAATCGGAGTATTTTTTAAATTTGGATGACTTTGAAAATATCAATTAGCTTACCCGCTTCAATAGCATTTCTTGCAGCAATTTTGAAATCATTGACAATATGAGGAATTTCATCTGCCTTTAGCCGTCTTGGAGGCGTGTATTGTTGTACTTCATTGCTTGTGAGTGACTTGTCCGTGGGCGATATTGGGGCTTGTCCATTGGGCTGATAAACTGTTAGATTAACAAGAAGGAGCACGGAGATACATTGAGTGAGTATTCTATTTGCATAAATGTGTTTATAGGTTTTTTCTTTGTTTAGTCCTGCGAGTGGGTTGGATCTATAGATCACCTTGTATTTGAATTGTTTTTTGAGTTAATATATTTGCTTTTGATTCCAAAAAAAAAGTGTGTATATATTACTTAATAGACTCCAACTCAAATCATCTTTAATTTATTGTCAGTTATGAGAGACTCAAATTATTTGATCTATGTCAAAAAAACATGTTACCTACAGAAATAGATACATACTTGAATTAGAAACCCTTCCAGCATGCCAAATTTGACAGAAAAAAATACCGCCTTTGGCATGAACAGCATCTACAATAGGTTTCCATGCTTCCACTTGCTCCTTTGTCCAAATACCTGGCGTGTTTGGATATCCTTGAGCAGTTTCTGAGACACCAGCAGCTTCGGATATGAGAAGACCACCTTTAGATGTTCTCTGGGAGTAATACAGGATAGCATGAGGTTGAGGAATGTTGTTGTAGGATCTCCGTCTAGTGAGTGGTGCCAAAACAAGTCTGAAATATAAAAAAATTTGGTAATAATAGGTTAGCAAGAACACTGTATTAAAATTGAATAGAAAGTAAAGTAAGATTGAATTAGAAATGGTAGTTTAACCACCTGTGAGAGAGGTTGAAATTTCCCATCTTGTATGGTGTAAGAAGAGGAATTGGTTCACTCATTATTGATTAACAATTGATAAGACAAAATATCGAATTGAATTTCAAGAGGATCAAGTACGAAAGTAAGAAAACCCTCAAGGTTCAGGTACTATCATCCTTATACCCCACCCCACCTACTTACCAACTTCAAAATACTATTCATTGTCCAATTAGTAACTTCTAGGCTCAGTTACCCGTGCGGGAGAAACCAAAGTAAATCTCTAAACATTGAATACAACTAAAATAAAATAATCTCACAATCAAAAATATATTACTAACTTGTAAGTTTTGGACGTAAAAATTGCAAGCCTTCTCAACAATAAGTTTTGGGCGGAAACCCTCTCAACAACTATTATTGGACTGATAAATAAATAGAAAATTCTCTCAACTACAATTTTTGTACGGAGAAATTGTAAACTCTCTATAGACACATAACTACCAAAATCTTCAATACACTAAAAATACTATAATATAAACTCGATGTGAGATTTGGATGAATATCCATTTTAATACAATAGTTAGTTGTCATGTGGATTTCGAAATAGTTAACTGTCCGGTTGCTTTGTCTTTATATTTTCTATGTGAGCTAATTGCTTGAGGACAAACAATGAATTAATCATGAGGGAGTTTGATAAGTCATATTTTTTTAATCATTTTTGATCGTTTAAATCTATCGTTTATAATCTATTTTGTTTCATTTTGTTGTCATTTTACTTACATTTTTTTATTTTTGTATATTTAAGGAGTTTGAAGAGGAGTTGAGGATCAAAGCCTCATACAACTGAAACAATGGCTAAATAATCAAGATATCGGAACATTCCGAGAAAAATGAGGGAGAAAGAAGAGATTTTGACATGAAATAGAGGACATTGCAGTCAGCCCGTAATAAACATTAGGGCTGTAATGACCCCAAAAATAAATGTGCATTAAAGTTCAAAACGATTATGTTCACCAAATAACTTTGTCGTCAAATCAAACAATATTACAACAAATTCAATTGACAATAGTTCTAATTAAAAATTTCTAATCAACAATCCACATTTTATGAAAATGCCAAATTAAAGTCATTACTTGACTGTTGAGTCTGTCAAATAAAGACTTAGAGGCAAGTATTTCAGACTATACTTTTTGTTAATGCAAACTTTATATTGAAATCATTTTTCTCTTAGCAATAAAGTTTTACTCAACTTTATTTACTCAAGAAAATAAGTGTTTTTCTTCTTTTAATATATATATATATATATAAACATCAAACATGTTTCCATATGAACACATTTGTGTGTATGAACATAATCACTTCCTCATAAAAATAGTGGGGCATTTCTAACTTTATAAAAAGACTAATCACATATGTGCGGTCGTACCGATAAATTTATTTAATATGATATAAAATATGTTTAGATAAGTATTTAAATTTGAAATTAGCTATTAATTTTAAAATGAATAATGATTATATAAATTTAATTGTATTAAAATAGAAAGAGAAAATAAAGAACATGTTATATAAGAAAAAAAAGAATATTCAACATTTCAGGTAACTTTCATAACAACCTCAATGCTAATATTATAATTCTTATTCTGAAAACTGTATACCCTCCAGACACATTTATAAATAACAAAAATGATTTTCACAACTATTAAGAAATCTGGCTTGAGTTGCTACTAAAATCATTTCTCCTCACCATCAAGGCTTTATCCTGGACAGTGTCATATCTAATTGTGTTATTATAACGCCAGAAGCCATTAATGTTCTCTCTAAGAAGTGGTTTGCTGGTAGTTTTGCATGGAAAATTGATACTAAGAAGGTTTTGCAGCAATTTAGTTTTAACACTATTTTTTTGTGATTGTATCTTAGAAATCATGCACCCAGCCAAGTTGTCAATCCTTGTGATCTTTATCGAATATTAATCCTCTTTTGTTACTTCATCTGTGTTGGAAATTCCTTTCAAGTAATGAATGATCAATGGGCAGTAATGTGTTGTGCTAGAATCTTAAAACATAGTGGTAGAGTTGTTCCTCACCTTGTTCCTCCGTTTGGCATGGGATCCAAACTTATTATGACATTGTGGTGCAAAACTCAATATGGATTGTTGGCAGAAGTGATCAAACTTAGTATTGGAAATACAATTGGCATAGAGTACCACTGCTTGAAGCTCTCAATATTTTATCATTTGACTTGCAAACTTCTAAAGACATGAGCATCAGAATTGATTTAACCATTTTACATAGATCATTGCAAATGATATAGTTGAGTTTGACCCTACATTGGTTGAAAAAAATCAATAATTTTTTATCCCAAAATAAATTATGAAGATAGGTTGGTGTGGAAAGATTCTAACGATGGGTACTTAACTTCAAAGCAAGCCTATCAAAATCTTTTTCCTCCTACTACTATTCCAGTTTGGTCCATGCATCTATGGCATGATTTTATCCCACCATCTGATTCTTTTGTAGTTTGCAAATGCTTCCATGATAAAATGCCAACTGGTGAGAATTTAACCAAGCGTGCATATGTGATGGCTTCAGTTTGTGTACTCTGCGTGATTGAACTTGAGATTACATCCCATCTTCTACTCTATTGCACATTTGTTATTGCGCTTTGGAGATGGCTGGGAGAACATGAATTTTGACCACACAAGCTTATATATCTATCTTTGAGATTTGTGTTCAAACTTGGAGCACGTAAGTACATCATATAGCGCCGACATCACTTATTCATACGTTCCATGCGATATGGATGACAAGCAATGTTATTCATTTTAAAAATGAATAAATTACATTACATACATTAAATATGAAAATTTGAATTGCATTTATCATTAATACCACTTCTACCATAGTATTCTTTGACAGGAGATACAATTAAATATTTTAATTAATAATATAATATTTGTTGTTATTTTATTTTGAATGCTTTATTGAATTAGATTTTTAATAATGTTTGAACCTTTAAGTTTATTATCATTAGAAGTACTATATATTGTAATCTCATATTCTCATTGAGACATTAAGAAGAATCATGACAATATTATTGTTTGATAGAGAATAAGATATCTATTGGTGGATTCTTTACTTTAAGAAACTTTTCAAAGAGCATGGAACAACATTGTCATTAAAGGTGTTGAAAGTTGTTGGAACTTTGAGAGGTTGTACTCTCAAATGGTGGATATTGTGGTCTAACGTTCATCCCCATTCAAGTTGGGATACATTCACTACCTATCTTTTATGGCACTTCAAGTCGGAATAAAGGCACATTTTACCAATATTAGATGAAGATATAGAGTCAACATGTGCATCCACGAGATCTTTCGAGGTAGAATTTTCCTTTCCCGAAGATTTTGTTGTCGATCCGGTACTTAGTGTTTCTGACCGAAGAGTTTTTAACCCGTCACCAAGTATGAAGAAAACACAAATTTTCACCTTCTTTCTCCTGTGGCATCTCCAACATGTGCGGAAATCGCATTAACTATTCCTATCATCAATCCTCATTGCAACGGTAGCGATTTTCACAACAACGTTGATTTCATGACTCCTCCAAAGCCACCAGATCTTAATTTTGTTATCGACGACAATATTACTTGGAATCTCGAAATTAACGTGCCTCTTCCACTTTTGTGCACAGATGACGAAACACAGTCATCATTGAAGCCACACTCGGTGATGCTTTCCGATCAACCTCCAGTGCCGCCGCCACCCTTGCAACCACCCGACATCACCTTATCTCAATCACCACAACCAAGCCCTGTTAACAAAAACCCTAATTTAATCCCAAATTTCAAACCTTCTTTACTCTTCCACTCTTCTACCTCCTTCATTTCTGCGGAACCAGAGAATCTCCAAACAAACAAACAGATGGACGTTCGTGGAATAACCATCTGCGGAAATAGCGACATAGCAACCTCATTCAGGGACAAAACCAATTGTTAATAATGAACACAATAGAAAATTGCACAAATGCAATTATATTTGTTATTCTGAAAGTAATCAACTCAAGCTATTAAATAGCTTTACAAAGAAACTGAAAATCTAAATTAAAACCACTTCTCCCCTAAACTTAGGAAACCGTGAACTGAAAATAAGAATGAGTCAAATGTAAAACTAATTCTATCATGTCCTATTTTATAGAAACTTATTGGAATAAATTACTAATGAGAAAATACTAACAAAAACTCTCCCCTAAACTAAACATGTCAGCTACATGTTAGTTTATGCCAAGACTGCTTCTAACGCCCATTGCTTCTCTAAGTTTTTCAAACTGATCAATCTTCAAAGGTTTGGTCATGATGTCAGCTACTTGCTCATTGCTACCAATGTATTCCATATTGATTGATCCATCATTTGTAAGATTTCTTAGAAAATGAAATCGTACGTCAATGTGCTTACTCCTTCCATGGAAGACTGGATTTTTCGCAAGTTTAATAGTAGAAGAGTTATCACAAAATTTTAACATAGTCATTTTGAGTTCCTTTGATCTGTTTTAAAATCTGCTTTATCCAAATACTTTGGCAAGCGCAAGAGGCAGCAGCGACATATTCTGCTTCTGTTGTTGACAAAGTTACCACAGGTTGCTTCTTAGATGCCCAAGCTACAGCTCCACCACTCAACATAAATACATATCCGGACGTGCTCTTTCGGTCATCCAAGTCGTCGGCATAATCACTATTTGTATACGCCATCATTTCAGTTGTACAATCCCTTTTATAAAAAATACCAAAATCTATAGTGGACTGAATGTATCTCAATACTCTTTTGGCTGCTAACATGTGTGTTTCCTTTGGACTTGACATGAATATGCTTAGGAGACAAACATTGTACATTAAATCAGGTCTCGTCACTGTCACATACATGAGACTTCCAATAATTTGTTTGAACATTGTTGCATCAGCTTTTGCTCCTCCTCCTTCCTTTGTCAATTTGCATCCTGGCACTATTGGATTTCTGACTCCATTGCAGCCTCCCATTCCAAATCTCTCAAGTACTTCATT